TAATATCGATTAATTAAAAAGTAATTGAACATTCAAATTTCTAATCAAATCAAAATTTTAAATTCAAATTTGATAGCATAAAAGAAATTAAGGAATTATCGAATCTAAGAAAAAAAAAGAAATTAAGGAATTATCGAATTAATAATATATATAATTTAAATTAAAAATAATAAACTATACTACTATTGCTTTATTGTTATCTTTCAAATTTTTTTAAGCTTTTATTTATAATTTTTTTCTTTTTTTTTTGGCTATTACCAAATGTTTTCTTCATTACAGTGATAGGAATACTAAAAAAGAGTGAAAAAAAAAGCGAAAAATTGAAAGTTTGCGCGATGACAAGTAACCGACGACAGTGTATCACTAAATAATGATAATGTTTATGATAAGTGTGATAATCACGATAACTATGTTGTGCTATTGATTTTCATTTGATAAAGGATTTGCAAACGAAATCTTTGATTACAGCAATAAAATAGAAATGTAGGTAATTTGACGTATTACGTGTTCGATTACGTCAATAAACAAACGTTAAGCAATAATTGATGGCAATTTATCATCCTTTTCTTTTTTTTTTGGTTTAAGATGAACAAACAAATTCGAAAAGCTCCATTTGTTGGTTAATTATTGTAAGCTAGTTTAGTTTTTTTTAAATTAGCCTAAAATTTTTTTGTAGCTAAATTTATTATTTTTTTTAACAAACAATTACGAATACTGCAATATTCTTATTATCATTATTATTATTGTTATTATTATTATTATTATTATTATTATTATTATTATTATTATTATTATTATTATTATTATTATTATTATTATTATTATTATTATTATTATTATTATTATTATTATTATTATTATTATTATTATTATTATTATTATTATTATTATTATTATTATTATTATTATTATTATTATTATTATTATTATTATTATTATTATTATTATTATTATTATTATTATTATTATTATTATTATTATTATTATTATTATTATTATTATTATTATTATTATTATTATTATTATTAT